GCGCCCGGGCGGCCGCATCCCGGCTGCGCAGCCCGTCCCAGCGCCCCGCCGCCGCCATTGCACCCCGCGCCGGACCCCCGCAAGCGAGGGGGTAGAGGGGGAGGGGACAGCCCCGCCCCAACGGTCACGCCCAGCCCCGCCCTCCCCGTCGAATCTCACTCGCCCTGGGGGAGGAGGGAGCGCCACGCTGACAGACGCGGCTATGAGCCAATAGCAGCTGAGCCGTCGGAGCTAATGACTACCAAGAATGGGCGGGGCAACAGCGGGAGAAGCCGACGACTCCGGCCGCGGGGCCGTCCGGAAACTACAACTCCCAGGAGGCAACGCGCAAAATGAGACAGGGGTTTGCAAGGAAGGATTTTTCCAACTATTTGATTTGGTCTAATAAAAGAGATTAGATTTACTCAAAGAACCTGGTCTGCCTATGTCCTTACATCAGCATGGCTACAACCTACACCCCTAAATAAGATGTATGTGTAACCAGTATGTGTATATCTGTATCCTATTTAGTCAGTGCACAGAGGTGCATACATACCCGACCTTCTCAGTGACTCCAGATGGACATAACTGATGGACACAACTAGCCGTGTCAGTCTGAAGCCAAGTAGACGGCAGGGTAGATTTACACCTTATAGACCAGGGGCTCCCAAACTGTGGTATGGTACCCCTGAGATGTATGCAAGACATCTCTGCAATTTCTCCTGCACACCCGCTAATGGCAATTTTCGTTTTCATTACAACTGGCAGACAAGGTTCTTTGGGTAAATTTGATCTCTTTTATTAGATCACTAAAATAGTTGGAAAAGTTATTTGCAAGCTTTTGGGTACAAGCCACCCTTCTTCTAATAACTGGCATTTAAGGAGTTAAAATATGCTGGTCGGGGTATGTGGGCAGCTGGTAAGGCTGGAAGGGGGTACGCAGTAAGAAAAAGTCTGGGAACCTCTGTTATAAACTAACCAACGTGTGTGTGTGGGCGTGTACATATGCAGTGGCGATGTGTAGGGAGTGCACAGGGGTACACGTGCACCCTCTGAGAGCTCTGATGCACCCTCCGTCAGCCAGCGTTTCCGGGTGGGGGCGGGGCAGGCGAAAGCGCTGGTGCCCCCCCTGAGAGCACTGTCCAGGGAACGCACCAGGAGAAGCAGTCTCCCCGCAGCCGATCTTGCCAACCCGGAAGTGCCAGCGGCGCGCCGCTGCCAGTTGAGGTTGGCAGGATGGGCCGCCGAGGGGGGACTATCTCCCTGGTTGGCAGGATCGGCTGCAGGGGTCCACCCCCGGCCTGCGGGATCGGCTGTGGGAGGACCACCCCCCGTCCGGTCCAGTCGGTGGGGGGGAGGAAGTGCTCTTCCTGACTCAGGAGGCACCAGTTGCCCATGTATATTA